TGTAGGGTGTGTGCGCTCGCCAGACAGACAGAGAGAGACATAGAGACAGAAAGCGAGAAATCACCCCCCAGGGGGGATGGTCACGCCGCAATCCCTTCTCCTCCATTCTCCTCTCAGGATCTTGGGCACGCACGCACACGCGCCCAGAGTGAGTTCTAAACCACCTGGTCCGGGACACGAACCGCGGTCGACTACGTGGGAGTCCAGTGACATAGCCATTACGCTAACTGCTGGTTCCCCCCATACAAATTCTTTATCTGGCATCATCATTATTAAAAAACAAACAAAATTCCAATTGTGTATTTGTTTAAGTAAAGTAAAATTTCATCCATATTATCTTCCTCAGAAAAACAACACGCTGAAATATGAAAATATGAAATAAACTTCAATCCAAAAGAGTGGAATTTTGAGAAACCACATGAGTACCCTCAGAAGAGTATTTAAACAAAACTATCATTTTTCTGACCAGAAATACATTCCACATTGCTGATTTCTGAAGCAAAGATAAATCAGAAAACACTTGACCAAATATATTATCTAAGATCTTTCTCTAGAATATCTAAATCTGGGCCAGCCAGTGGCAAGGTGGTTAAAGTACTGGATCCCACATGGTCAACTATGCAGTTCGAGTCCCCAATCCAGCAGCTTAAAAACATGTCAGACTTGTGTGCATGCATGCCCAAAATCCCGAGAGGAGAATGGAGAACAGGTAGCAGTGTGGTCTCTCCTCCCCCCAGGGCTGCTTTCTCACTCTCTCTCACTCTCAAGAGAGTGTATTTACCCTGTACTAAAAAAAAATAAAAATAAAAAAAGTATCTAAACCTGTATCTAGTGAACTATAGCTTTCCCACTCCCAATATCATAGTAACATGTAAGAAAAAGCACAGAAGGGACCAGCAGTTAGCATAATGGCTATGTCGCTGGACTTCCATGTAGTTGACCATGGTTCGAGCCCCAGACTGGTGGCTTAAACTCACGCCGGGCACATGTACATGCATGCCCACAATCCCAAGACGAGAATGTAAGAGAAGGGATTGCAGCATGGCCCCCCACCCTGGGGGGTAATTTCTCACTTTCTGTCTCTCTGTCTCTCTCTGTATCTCTGGCAAGCACACATGCCCTGTAACAAAAAACTCTCAAAAAAAAAAAAAGAAAGAAAGAAAGAAAGAAAGAGCACAGAAAACATGAGGACTGGCAGGTGGCGTGGTGGTTAAGGTGCTGGACACTCTCACATGGCAGACCATGGTTCGAGTCCCAAACCTGGTGGCTTGTTTTCTCACTTTCCCCTCTCTCTGTGTCTCTAGTCAAATTAAAATAAATGAATGAATAAATAAAAAAGCAAGAAAATTAAAGAAAAAGCACAGAAAAGAAGGAAATAATCTTGTCCAAAAGCATATAGTTTAATCTGACCAAGCACTCTCTACGTGTCAATTAAAATTAAAAAGTAGGGCAGAGAGGAATATTGCAAGGATGCAATCATCTAAACCCTGGCCATGAGAAATACCGCAGGGTAGACGATTTCTTCAACAAATGCTCTCAGAGTATCTCAACACTTTGTTAAGCCAGGTTTCAATCCCACCTCTCTGAAACCTGGTACTGGGTTTCTTCTCTGTGGCGACTGGTATTACGGCTCTGAGCACCGTAGCGTAATTACACGCATGTCTCCTATGACGGTGTTTGCAGAGTGGAGAACAACAAAGTAGCTTAGAACATGGCTCTCAAGTTAGTCCGAGGAGGAATCCCACCTCTGCCTGCTCAGTTCACCCATCTACAAAATGAAAATACCACCTGTTCTGTTCAAAGGAATTTTAAGGCTTCCATGAGAAAATATTGGGTTGTCGGAAAAGTTATGATGCATTTTTGCACAGCAAAACAAAAAATAAGTCATGACTTTTCCAACAGCCCAATATATGTGAAGTACCTACCAAGACCCTTGGCGTGTTTTAAGCAGTTAGTAAAAATCTCACGACAATAAATAAAAAGTAATAAGCAACACAATTAAACAAGTATAAATTTCATCTCCTTAATTTTATCTAACCATCCTGCAGTGTCTTGTAAAAAGTAAAATACCCTAACAGTCAATAGTAAGAAAAAAAAAAAAAAAAAAAAAAGATTTTAGGGGAAAAAAAACAGGTCATCAACTTCTAAGTAACTGAGCCTGTCTCTAAGGTACTAACAGAATATTTAGTCACAGCAAATATCACCTGGTGAAGACTGAAGTTATTTTTATTTATTTATTTATTTATTTTTGAGAGGTTTTCGCTATAGGGCACGTGCGCTCGCCAGACAGACAGAGAGAGACAGAGAGACAGAAAGCGAGAAATCACTCCCCAGGGGGGATGGTCACGTCGCAATCCCTTCTCCTTCATTCTCCTCTCGGGATCTTGGGCACGCACACACACGCGCCCGGCGTGAGTTTTAAGCCACCGGGTCCGGGACGCGAACCGTGGTCGACTGCATGGGAGTTCAGCGACATAGCCATTACGCTAACTGCTGGTTCCCAAGACTGAAGTTATTAAGGGCTAAAGTTGGCCAAATCTGGTAAAAGAAATTAAATTAATTTGCTAAAGAAAAGCTCTTGACATAATCATCTTCGAGCCTAATTTTTAATAATATGAAAAACATTTTTTCAAGAATTTTTAAAATGTCAGCATGATTATTCTGAATCTCTTCAGTTTTCTTACTTTACAAAGCACTAACGAATGAGATTAACCACCTTGCCCATCTGAACAGTAGGTGGCATGGCTCACATACTCTGAGCCAGCTACTTTAGAAAACCCCAGTATAGCATCACCCAAAATTCTAAAAACGTTCATTTAAAACTGCTTTAAAAATCAAATAAGAAAATTTTTCAAATAACAAAACATACTTACATCTCAATTTGTCCAGCATTTTCCCACCACACATGGTCGCTAACATGGCTTTAACTGAAAATACCGTCAACTTGCCTCGGCCCTCGCTGCAAAATAAACATTAGAAATAATTGCTCTCCGAAACCACAAAAACAATCGAATGCATCACTAAATATCAAGTGACCAGTAAATCGATTTCTGCTCTTCGTGTTACAGTTTTACCACATTTAGAACCCTAACATCTTTTCCTCTGGAGAATTAAGGCTAGGTGAAGAATGCTATAGCTAACTTGAATGACCTGAAAATGAATTTTAGAAACATTCTGTAAAGCAACTGCCGTTGGCCATGTAGGACAGAGGCCAAACGGACAAACCTGAGTCAATTCCTATCAATTAAATCCATAGAGTCTACAGCTCGGGTGTTTTCAAGAAGTCAAAACAGAGGGCCCACCTGGCTTGAACATAACTCAGAAACATATCCTGCCACCAGGACATGTAACAGGTTATTACTATGTACTAAAGGTGGGCGGGGCGCACACTGCTATGAAGATGTTGGAGGACCTCATCTTTGCTTGTTTTGTTAGCAGGTGTTTATCCTAAGAAGCGCCGTCACATCTGTCTCAGATCTTCTCCTACATCGTTCTGAGAAAAATGAAGGGGAAGGGATAATAATACCAATTCTTTTTCTGGCGATTGGAAAGATGAAATAGCAGGACACAAGCAAGTTACCCAAAGCAATGCTGTGGATGACCAGCAGAACCAAGACAACGTCCCCGAGGCTCCCTGTCCCAGCGAGTCCACTACGCCATCCTTTCCACTAAAGCCGCACTAGCTGGTTGGTGAAGCTTACAATGGCCCTCTGTGAATTTTACAAAGCTGTGCTCATAAAGTTTCATATTAAACTCAGGAGTACAAGAAACACCTTTGTTTTAACAAGAGCTATGTCATCTGAGTTTTGAAAAGCAAGTATCATATTGTTTATATTCCCATTTTCCAAACCTTCTTTGCATAAAGAAAGAGCACATCTAAGAAACACCAAGTGGTCTGTAGGGCCAGACCATCATCAGTGAAAACATCATCAAGAAATACCAATATCTGTTGTAGCCAGACATTTAACTACTACATCTCCCCAAATTATAAATACAGATACAACAGGAATCCCAGCAACTAGCTAAAGTCACGATAGGGTTTCAACAAACAGAATACAGTTCTTCAAAATAAAGATACTGCTTCAGTTGTAAGACAATGCAGCACCTGGAAGTGATGAGGCATACCCCAATGTCAAATTTATTTTGTTTGGATAGATTCTAAACATGGGTAATCTAATTTGCATACCGCATTGTATGAGAAGTCAGTGGTTAAAAGATCATTTAAGTTAAAAGGAATGGATCTCTAAGGCTGATACAGAACTTTTACAGTGGACTTTTCTTTTTACCCCTACCAAGGCGATGCTGAGTCTACATTTAAGCACACCCTATTTAGAGACAAATATGCCTCCCACTATGAAAACACACAAGAAAAAAAAGTATGAGTGCCCCCATCTTTCTCCCAAACTAAGACATGGTGCACAATGCAAGCTGCACCGATAAAATGTGTTCACTCTAGCCTTCACTAGATGGTAACTGAAGAGGCAAAACTCAGGTCTGCAGGTGGCGTGGTGGTAAAGGTGCTTGGATTTCTACAAGGCCAACCCTGGTTCAAGTCCCAGACACAGTGGCTTGAAAAATCACAAGGGGGCATCAGGTGGCATGGCAGTTAAGACACGGGACTCTCACATGCCAACCATGGTTCAAGGCCTGGTCCTGGTGGCTTGCTTTCTCACTTTTTCTCTCTCTGATCAAACTGAAACATAGTAACATTAAATAAAATTAAATAAATAATTATTTTAAAAAAAGAAAAATCACAACAAATAATGTAATACATAATTATTTTTTAAAAGAAAGAAAGAAAACCCAGGCACTCCAGAAGACTCAGATGGCAGCAGGAAAAGCAGCTACACCCAGGGTCCTGGGCAGCAGGGATGTGGGTCAGGGAGATACACAGAGCCCAGCATGAACAGTGTCTGGTACACAAGCACTGACGTCTGTGCAGAGGTGACAGAGGCGTCTCCTGGGGCCAGTTATGTGAAGAGATTTTGAGCTTTGCTCCTGGCAGTGAAGTTTCTAAGCCTAAGTCCAAAACTTCTCAGGACTTGCAGGCCATCCACGTGCCTTTAATAAATTAGCCCAAAACGGTTTCCTTCTCACAGTGAAGAACTCTGATGGCCACAGCTTCTAGCCTGCAGTGAAGTGGCCCAGAAAGAGAAACAACAAAAGAAACTACTGCTGAAGCCCAGAGTGGGACCAAACACATCTGGTGACCAGCAGGCACGAATGAGGAGGAAGCGCTCAGACAGGAGAGTCAAGACTCGGTGATGTTTTCAAAGGTAAATGTGCTCAAAAGTGTTTTGCAGACATAGAAAGAATACAGTGCAAGAATACCCAGGAAATCCCACAGGAGAAAGAAATAACGAATCTTAAAAGAGATTTCCATACAAACCAAGCAATTGGTCGTGTTGGAAGGGAGGAGAAGGGCTGTGCCACAGAAATGCGAGGGACTAGACGCCAACAGCACCTGTTTCTGACCCCACGGTACCCACACAGACGCCTGCAGGGGAACGACTCGTTCAAACTGCACTTCATGTTATGTATTTTTCTGTAGGTGTTTCCTACTTCTCGATAAAAGCCATTTAAAAAAATAAATCCCGGGAAAGTGAAGGTTGTTATTATTAGACAAGGCTAATAATGGTTTAAGTGGGGAAACGATGATGGAAGATCCACAGGTTCAAAGATACTTAGGAGCAGGGCCAGCAGATGACGTAGCTCTTATGTCGCTGGACTCCCACATGGCCAACTATGGTTTGAGAACTGGACCCAGTGATTAAAAATCATGCTGGGCACGTGTGCATGTGTGCCTAAGATTCTGAGAGGAGAATGGAGGAGAAGGGATTGTGGAGGGGCCGTTCCCCCTTGGGCATGATTTCTCACTTTCCCTCTCACTGTCCATCTCTCTCTTTCTCTTTCTCTCTCTCTCTGGTGTAGTCTGTAGTTCAAGTCCTGGACCCAGTGGCTTCAAACTCCCACCAGGTGTGTGTGTGTGCATGCCCAAAGTCTGGAGAGGGGAATGGAGGAGAAGGGACTGCAACATGATGATTTCTTGCTTCTGTCTCTCTGTCTCTCCGTGTCTCTCGGCAAGTAAACATGCCCTATAGCAAAAAAATCTTTCTTAAAAATAAAAAGATACTTAGAAGCCAGACAGTGGTACAGTGGTAATGCAGCTAGACCCATATGAGAAAGGTCCTGGGTTCGTGTACCAGGACCTACCGGCACCTGCTGGGCATATATGTGTCTATGGTCTGGGCAGGCTGAGACTGGGAGGGCACCCCTAATGGGGATGCCTGTCCCTCTGCCTCTTTTTCTGTCACTCTCATAGAAGGAATAAATAATCTTAAAAAAAAAAAAGTTTTTAAAGATACTTAAGTCATATACACTACAATGCATAAAATTTTCAATGATAAAATGTATAAAAAGAATAAAACATTAAGATACCATGGCCTAGACCCTCCTCTTAAAGACCCTAATTATATGGCCTGGGGTGGAGCTTTGGCACTGATAAGTCTGAAAAGCTCTCCAGGTGATTCAAAGGCACAGCCAGCACTGGGAATCACTGGTCCCAAACAGACCAGCTTTATTAAAAAGAAGGCCCAGTGCCAGGTGGTGGCTCAGTGGTAATGCAGGGAAAAGGTCCCGGGTTTGTGATCCAAGGTCTCCCTGAGTATGCCAGGCATGCCCATGATCTGGGCCGGCTGGCACTGGGAGGGGTACACCCCACCTTTGTCACGAAGGAAAAATAAACTCAAAAAGGGAGGAGGGAATGGGACCAGCAGATGGCATAATGGCTACATCACTGGACTCCCATGTAGTCAACCGCAGTTTGAGTCCTGGACCCGTCGTCGGCTTAAACTCACCCTGGGCACATGTGTGTGCATGCCCAAAATCCCAAGAGGAGAATGGAAGAGAAGGGATTGCAGCATAGCCGTACCCCCAGACGGTGATTCCTCATTTTTTGCCTCTCTGCCAAACACAGATACCCTATAGCAAAAATCTCTTAAAAAAAAACAAGGGACCAGCAGTTAGCGTAATGTCTATGTCGCTGAATTCCCATGTAGTCAACTACAGTTTGAGTCCCGGACCTGATGGCTTAAACTCATGCTGGGTGCATATGCGTGCATGCCCAAGATTCCAGGAGGAGAATGGAGGAGAAGGGATTGTGGTGTGGCCATCCCCCCTGGGGGTGATTTCTTGCTTTCTGTCTCTCTGTCTCTCTCTTTCTAGCAAGCGCACACGCCCTATAGTAAAAACCTCTTCAAAACAAACAAAAAAAAAAAAAAAAAAAAAACAAGTCTCAATAATAAAATTGGCAAAGCACAACTTCATATACAAATACACATGGAAGAAATACTAATTAAGCACACTAATTAAGGCACTGACCTTCATTAACAATGAAAGAAAAAAACAAATAAAAACGAGATTCATTTTTTTAAGAGTCCTAAATCTCCAAAGACTGTCCTTAATCTAGTGTGAAGTCTATCTTTTTTTTTTTTTTAATGTTTTCATTCATTTATTTTAATTTGATGGGAAAAAGAGAGAAAGTGAGAAAGCAAGCCACCAGGTCCAGGACTCGAACCATGGTTGGTCAGGTTGGTAGGAGTGTCCAGTGCCTTAACCACCATGCCACCTGCTGGTTCCTGAATGTGAAGTTTAGCTTAGAACACTTTTAAAGAAATAGTTTGACTACGTTTTATTTCCTTTTCTTTTGTAGTGTAATTATTTATTTATCATCACTTTTCATAATTACTATAAAAATGATCAATTTAGAGAGAGAGCAAATGTATTTGGCAGAACAAAATAAGTCATCTCTCTGGTTTTCTTTTTTTTTTAACAATTATTTTATTTAACTTTATTAAATTATTACTTATTTTTTAATTTGACCAGACAGGGACAGAGAAAGGGAGAGAGAAAGTGAGAAATCAAGCTGCCAGGTCCGGGACTCAAACTGAGGTCAGCCCT